CGTTCATTTATCTCACGCTGCCTTCCCTTGGGATTTCTCAGCTGACCTCTCTGCTCGTTTCCTTACCGACCTCTTAGGAAGAAGCCCCCCGATCCAGTACGTCCGCTGTGAGATGGAAGGCTGTGGCACCGTCCTGGCTCACCCGCGTTACCTGCAGGTGGGCTGCGATGTTCTGCCGCTTCCTGATGTGTGTGAGGGCAGGGGAGGGCCATCTGCACCAGGGCCTCCCACTGTGGAGGGGGCCATCAGGGATCAGAGGGCTTCAGCCATCATCTTAGGTGCGTAAAGAGAGCTTACAGCCTTTCATTTCTCTTCTTTTCCAGCATCACATCAAGTACCAGCACTTGCTGAAGAAAAAATACGTCTGTCCCCATCCCTCCTGCGGTCGGCTCTTCCGCCTCCAGAAGCAGCTCCTGCGGCATGCCAAGCACCACACAGGTACGGGGAGCTGGGAGACAGATCCAAACTCCTCCTGGAACAGAGGGAGGGTGGAGGGGAAGCCTCCAGTGCTTACGTTGAGAGTGAAGCTAAGGCAGGTGGTACAGACTTGCAGCAGTGGGAGAATATTACTCACTCCCAGATTACAATCTTCTAAGGAAATGAAAGGAAATGGGCCATAGAGTTCTCGATTCACCCTCTGGCAAGTATCATTCAGGGGTTCTGGAGAGGGATAAAACGAGCCAAGCTTTATCCTAATTTGCCACCCTTCAGCACTGGTCAGAATGGCTAATTAGCTCGTAGAGTCTTAATCATGCCTTAACTCTCCATCAGTTTCTGTGGTGTCCTGTGGGACACCTCCTCCCCTGCTGTCTGCTGGCCTCCCAGCACTTCTCGTCCTGCTGCTTCCTGGGCAGCTTTGCCTGCAGCGTGAGGGCAGGGAGAGCCAGCAGGGCTGCAGGGGAGTAACGCTGCGACTGGTGTTGCTTTTCAGATCAAAGGGATTACATCTGCGAGTACTGCGCCCGGGCGTTTAAGAGTTCCCATAACTTGGCGGTGCACCGAATGATCCATACGGGCGAGAAGCCCTTGCAGTGAGTACCTCTGCCTGTCTCTCACCCTCCCGAGTGACCCGTGGACATATCTGCTCTGAGAGCAGCTCTGAAGGCAGGGCTGGGACCTGTTCCTGGAGTCCCAGCTCCCTTTGAGCACGCAGCTGTGGGAGTGTTGGGATTGCTGCTTGTTGTCTCACCTGTTCCTTCAGGCAGTGCCTCAGATCTGAGGAGCGTGAGTAAGCCCCTGTAAATCTCTCTGGAAGAGCTGGCGCCGTGGTGGCATCCCGTTAATGAGCCCCTGCTGCTTTCCTGGGCTGCCTGTGTCTGCACAAAGGCGTGCCGATGGCCCCTTTGTCGTGACCTCCCCTTCTCCCCTTCCCCAGGTGTGAGATCTGCGGGTTCACCTGCCGGCAGAAGGCCTCCCTGAACTGGCACATGAAGAAGCACGACGCCGACTCCTTCTACCAGTTCTCCTGCAACATCTGCGGCAAGAAATTCGAGAAGAAGGACAGCGTCGTGGCCCACAAAGCCAAGAGCCACCCCGAAGTGCTCATTGCCGAAGCACTGGCCGCCAACGCGGGTGCCCTGATCACCAGCACTGACATCCTGGGCACCAACCCCGAGGCCATGGCGCCGCCCACCGATGGCCAGGGCCTCCCCCTTCTTCCCGACCCGCTGGGGAGCGCCGCCCCGGCCGATTGCCTGCTGCTGAACCCCGATGGGATGCCCAAGACATATTGCGGCGGGGCGGAGCGCGTGAGCCTGGTGGCTGACGGCAAGCTCTTCGTGGGCGGCGGCAGCAGCGCGACCCCAGAAGGGCTGGTCATGAACACAGAGATCCTGGGAGCCACCACGGAGGTGCTCATCGAAGATTCAGACTCCACTGGACCCTAGTGGGCGGGGAGCACGTGGGTGCTGGGACAGCTCGGACTCTGTATTTAAAAAGGAAAAATGATGGAGACGCGTGTTGAAAGAGAGAAAAGCTAAGCAAAAACCTAAAATACTAGTAAATAACCGAAGGGTCTGCTCTCCTCCGGCGTGGATCACGGCACGTCCTCTTTCTCCCAACCACTTCTGTCTTGTCACTGCTCCTTGGTAGGAAAGGGGCACGCGCCGCCGTTACCAGAGCAAGTTGGACCGAGCGACGGATTTCTCTGAGGGAGGGGGAATGGCCGAAACCCTTCGCTCTGCCCCAAAGCGATGCCTTTCTTGACGTGGCCCCGCTAGGAAGCGTTTCGGTGCGCTCTGGACGAGTTTCTTAGGACTCCCTTCCGCCCCAGTGGTCCCGACTTCTATGCATCACTGCACTCTGGTCCTTGCAGTCTCCTTCTTCTTCCTGGGGCTGGGAGGTTGGCTTGGCACTTTAGGCCCCCTCGGCAGGGCGAGCCGCGGAGGAGCGAGCGCGCGTCCCCGGCCTCGCCGCGCTGCTCTGCTCCGTCTCTGGCAGGAAGTTGAGGGAACGCCCTGGCTCGTAGATCGTGTTTGCTCGGAGAGGCCCCGGGGGCTACGGGAGCCCTGCGTGGGAGAGAGGCAAGGAGGAGCATCCCAGTTTGACGACAGTAATTTGCACTTTGAACATGTTTCGTTTTTGTGTTGTGGTAACGAGATTCCTTATTTATTGATAAAAAAGGGTCGGTATTTTTGAGTTCTGTTCTGGGTGGGTGGGGGTGGAAGGGGTTCGGGCTGTTCCCCAGGGAGCGCGCCGTGCCATCCTGACCTCCGCTGGGAGGAGAGCTGAGGGGAGGCAGTGCTCCGGAGGCAGATCTGTCTCGTAGCTTTTCCAGAGTAGAGGGAGAGCCCGGAGAAGAGCCTGCTTGCAGTGGGAGTCTTTGCGGCAGCGTTTTAGCAGGAGGATGAGGTGAGTGCTGGAACAGCTGGCTCTTGTCTCCTTCCCTCCCAGCTCCTCGCGTTAAGTGCTCTTTCTGCGCCCCCTGACTCTCGCAGGGAAGGACATCGTTAGCCAGGAACTTGTTCTCGTGACTTAGGGCCGTTGTGAGCCGCTTGCTGGTGGGGGATGCCGCGCTCCTCATCCACCTCTGCCTCTCCTTTCCGGGTCTAGGTGAAAGATCCAGAAGCAGAGACCGGGTCTGGTCGTCTCAGGAGAATTTATCCCAGGCGATAGGCTGAGGGAGGAGGAGGAAGGGGCTGTCAGCTCGCTCCCTGCCTCTGTTTTGGGGAGCGTTGTGCAGCTGCGTGGTCAAAGCTCCTCGCTTCTGCACAAAACGCCGCTGCTTTCCCCGGAGCCTGGTAGTTTGAGTGTCGCCTGCTGGCGTAGCTGGGACAGCCCCGAATTCTCGGAGAGGCTCGCGTGGGACGTGACACGTCTGGTAGTGAGACTCGGATCTTTCTCGCTCTGTTCTCTGAAACTGTGTGTGGAGACTCAGTGGCCTTGAATTCTTAGTGTTTTTTTTCTTTTGGAAGAGGTGACAAATAACCTGGGCTTTTCGTTTGTTTACTTGTTTTCTTTCTTTCTGTTTGGTTGGGTTTATGTGCTTGGAACAGAGCCCCAGCGTCTTGTCCAAGCGCACGGTCAGCAGCATCGGTCTGTAACACGGCAGCCAGGCAAAATCGGGTATCTGGGGGCTGGAGAACAGCAATAAAATGTGGAATTGAATTGGAAACTCTTACAGGAAACTGACTCTAAACACCCACTCTATCCCCTGCCCTGCCTGGAAATCCAGCTGTGGCCCGAGCCTGAGAGCTTTTAGGGGGTCGTTTGTCCTGATTTCCCCTTTCCCTTCCCCACTGACACTGACGTCTGTGTCGGAACAAGCCAGAACGCTTCTGGTGGTGGGGCAGCTTGTGCTCGGGCAGTTTGCAACCCTGGCATTTCGTGATCTGGGTGTGAGCATCCACTGTGGCTCCCGTGCTTCTCCTGGGGGTAGGCAGGAGGGGCTGCAGCACCCCTGGGCAGGCAGCTCCGGGAACACCCCGCATGGCAAACGGGCAGGGGGTGGTGAACCACACGAACCCGTTTCCTTAGTTGGGGTGATACAACCCCTTGTTTAGATCAATTTATTGTGATTTCCAGGGAGAAGTTTTAGGGTGGCAAGCTGTTTTTCCCCCTCCCCATGCCCCTTCCTAACTAACGGGGCACGGCACAGCACAAAGAGAGGATCAGACCCCCAACCCTGCTGGTTTCACCCACCAGCAGCGAGGGTCTCCTGCCCGGGGCAGTAGGGTCAAACCCCTCTCCTGCCTCAGACCCCGCTGCCTGTAGGGGATGTGCCAGCGTAGTTGGGGCTGCCTGCTTTGCCCCTGGGTTGCTGCAGCCCCTCTGCTGCTTTTCATGCCCTGCCACCGCCCCCCCGGAGGAGCGGAGCCGGCAGAGCCTTGCACAGAACACTAAACGAAAGGGAGAGCTTGGGGTTTTGTTCTCCGAGACCGACACTAAAACGCTTCTGGGCCACCAGCTTGCTCCCCAGCGGTGCTGCCCCGCTCGGCACCCGGCTGGGAGGCGAGGGAGCCTGCCTCGGCCTGCGCCTGCCCCTGCTGCCCTGGGCAGAGCAGCGCAGTCGTGGCAGCGGCTGCGGGATCCAGCAGCTTGCTCGCCTCCCACCTCATTCCTGGCCTCGAGACCTCCGCTCCCTGCCTCGCCCTCCCCTGCGCCCCCTCATAGCTGCCCTTTTTTTTCTTTTTCTGGTCTCGGCGGGTTGCCTGCCTGTCCTCTAACCACAGCCTGCTCGCCCTGCTGCAGGAGAGACTGGTGTAACTCCTTCCCTCTGCCCTCCCGTGCCCTACAACTGACACAGCCCTCCTGCCGCCCTTCCCCTCGGCGTCTCTCCTTCACTCGCATGCAGTTTGCTTCAATAAATTATTGTAGTAGTTTGCAATAAACTTCTTTTTGTATTTTCCCCTGTATTTATTTATTATTACTATTTTTTTTTCTCTCCTCCCCGGGAGGGAAGCCAGGGCCTTTCTCCTGCAGGCATGCGGAGGGGTGGGCTGTGGGCAGGGGGCTTGGCAGCGCTTTCTGCAGTAGCCACCAGGTGGCACCGGTGCTGCTGGGCTAACCCGGGGGGGCTGGGGCTTGCCCCCCCCCATCCCTGCTAGCCCCCGAATCCCCCCTGGTAGCCCTGAGCCTCTCCCCGGTAGCCCCAAGCCAGGGCAGGGCTCGTAGTGGTGCGGTTGTAAAGGGAAGCTGCTTTCCAACTCCCATTTTTCTCTTCATCTGGGTAACACGTAACCAAAATAAACATCTTGAGGAAAAAGCAAATAAACCTAAAAAGGGCTGGTTTTTGTGTGGTGCTTGTGTTTTGGAGGGGAGGGGGGGGAATCAAGGGCCTCCTCCTCGAGGGCTCTGCTTCGGGGCAGGCCCCTGCAGGAAAGGGTGGCTGGGAAGAGGGCAGCAGGCAGGGCCCTGAAGCCCCGAGGGCTTTGGGGTGCAGCCCCCAGGGGTTTGGGGTGAATAGCACAAATCCCACAGCTGGTGCTGGATGTCCCTGTGTCCCCTGTGCCCTGCTCAGGCCCCAGGCTGCCCTCCCTGCTCAGCTGTTGAGCAATGTCCCGGCTTTGCTCGCCTCTTCCCGGCAGCGGTTTCCCATGCTCCGGCCTAAATGGGGGGAACGGGGCCGGGGCTGGGGGCTGGCTTCCCTGCGGGGAGGCAGGAGAGGGTCTGAGCCGGGGCTGGGAGAGCCTCCTGCTGCTGCCGGGCGAGGCCGTTCCGGGCAATAGGCTTAGCGAGTGGCGAAGCGTGGGGGAATTAGGGCAATAATCTGTGGCTGTTGATCCCAGAGGCGGGAATTTGCAGCGTGGTGCCAGGCCCCAGGCGCGGAAGAGGGGGAGAGCCGGGCCAGCGGACGCGTGAGCAGAGCACGCCGGCTGGAATGCACCAGCTCAGCACGGGATTGTCCTTCCCGGGCCAGGCGGGCGCCGCGCCGTGAGCCCGGAGCCCCGGGACGAGCGCCGGGGCCATGGCAGCGGCAGACACCCCCTCGGCCAGCACCCTCCGGCGCCGCGACCTGTGCAGCCGCGGCATCCGCCTGGCCAGGAAGATGCGTTCGGACGTGGCCGACCTCCTGGACATCTACGTGAGTTCATCTCCACCCGCGCCCCGAGGCTGCTTTGGGACAAAATCCTGCCGACACCTCGGCCTTGGGGTCTCGTCGGTGCTCGGGTGACCTCCTGCCTTTCGCCTTCCGCCCCGTGCCCCAAACCATCATGGGGGCTGCTGAGGGTCCCCGTTTCTTGTTTATTTTTTCCCCGCACAGGTGGAGCGGCAGGGCTTGGACGCCTCGGTGAGCGTGGCGGCGGTGGAAGGGGTGCCGGCGGCGGCGGCGGAGCACTGGGGGGAGCAGACGGGGACGCAGCGGCTGCTGGACAACCTGGCGGCGTACCGAGCCTTCCGCGCGCTGCTGGCCCAGATGCTGGAGGAGCAGCGCGAGCAGCTGGGCGACGCCGACGCCGCGCTGGGCCGGGCGCTGGCGGCCGTCCTGCTGCAGGTCTCGGCCTTCGCCTACCACCTGGAGGAGCTGCTGGAGCTGGAGAGCCGCCGGCCCCCCGGAGATGACGGGGACGGGCCCCCCGCGCCTCCTCGCCTCAGCCTCTTCGAGCAGAAGCTGCGGGGCCTGGGGGTGCTGCGGGAGCTGGCCCAGTGGGCCGTGAGGTCCGTGAGGGACCTGCGGCAGCTCGCCCGGCCCGGCCCCGGTCCCAGCTCAGCCCCTGGCATGGCCGAGGGCCAGTGATGGCCGCACGGGGTGCGGGGAGCCTGGGTCTGGTTAGGGGGCTCCTTTTCCCAGCTGGGGGGGCAGAGGCACGGGGAGGGAAGCCCTGGAGGGACGAGGCTTGGGATGAGTCCGGCTCTGTGTGCTCGGGGTTCGCAGGACCCAGTGGTCCTTGGTGAGCAAGGTGCCGTGAGACTTCCTCACTGCCTCTTGTCATGGCTTGATGCTGCTTCACGAGGCAGGGAACTGCGGTGGGGCTCCTGGAGACGAGCGAAGGGCTGTGAAACTGGCACCTGGTGGAAGGAATTGTAGCCCCCTCTGCACCACCCGAGGCTTTGCCCCCTTCGGGTGGTTCCTTGTCCTTCCCCTCCGCCTGCTCCTGCCCTCTTGGTGTTCTCCGTGCGTTGAATTTCTGCTCTAACTGCTTGGGGGCTCGTTGGGGAGGGGGTGGCAGGGGGGTTTGGGCAGGATGGCGTTTCTCAGCTGCTCCCACGATCCGGCAGAGAGGATCTGCTAACCGAAGGCTGGCTGGGAAGCCCCTCCGCGAGGAGGCTGGTGCCCCCAGGCCACAATTAGGACTGGAGATGGCCTGGAGGAACGAACAGCCCCAACCTCCAACCTGCATCTCCCTGCGAAGCCCTGAGGCTTCTCAGCTGCCTTGGCCATTGTGGTTTTTCTTTTCTTTTTTTTTTTTTTTATTTTTTTTCCTTGATGGCTGCTGAGTGAATAAAGTGCCTGGGAGATCTGCTGGGGAGCCGTGACTTCTTGGAGGAAGGGGGGTCCTCGTTCGCTGGGGCGTGGGGGGAAAGTCTGGGAGTGTGGTGCGGGCACACGGCTTGGAAATGCCCAGCCAGCCCCGCACAAAGCAGCTTTGTCCCCGCGGGCGCTGGAGGCGCCGGGCACGGTGCCCGCTGCAGCACCAGTGGCGTCTGCAGGGGCTGGGGGGGCACCGCAGGGGGGGCAAAGGGCAGGGCCAGCGGGGCCATGGGGGGGCTGAGGGCTGAGGGCCGCCACCATGACCAGAGGCACCGTGAAGAGCCGAGCTGTCACCGCCCGCCCCGCGGCCTGGCTGATGCTCGCTGCCAGCTGGGCGAGCGGCCCCAAACCCGGGGCTCTCCCTGCCAGCAGGGCCCCGGCGCAGCTGTGCTGACACCCGAGCCCCCCCCCTGGGTCTCAATTTCGGATTTTTGGCCGAAACGCGGGCGAGGAGCATGAAGGGAAACACCCTGAGGCTGCAGGCTCTTTAGGCCAGCCTCCCGCGGTGGCGGTAGCCCCGTGGCCGACAGAAACCCACTGGGAGCGTGTTTTGGGACGAGGGAAGGGATTTGGGCAGGAGAACATGCTCGGGGGCCCATGGGGGGATTTGCTGCCATTTTGCCATAATATTTATAACAATATTTATAATAATATTTATCGCCTGGAAAACGGAATTTATCAGGAGCTGAGCCCCCGGTGATGCCCTACAGCCACAGCACCCCCATGTCCCGGGGGAGGGTCCCCTCTGAGCACGCTGGGCTGGGGGATTTGCCCAAATCCTGCGGGCACAAGGTTTGGGTGGGTGTTCCTTTAGTCTTTTTGGGGTGATTTCTCCCCAAAACGGGAAAATGAAGTGTGGTGGGTGCTGCTGCTGGTGCTGGGGGGCTGCAGGAGCCCAGCGTGGAGGTGTGAGGATAATTTGGGGCCGCTCGGGCGGTGTCTCAGTGTCTGGGGCAGATTTTGGGGTGTCACAGGGGGGCTGCACCCCGCTCCCCCCCCCCACGCCACCAATGGTTCCTCCCGGCTTTGCCCCCCCTCGGGGGCGAGTGGTCGGCGCCGCGGGGGCGTGGCCTCGTACCGAGGGGGCGTGGCCAAGTGCTGATGGGGGCGTGGCCACTGCGCGTTAGGGGCGTGGTCACCGGGTCTTGTGGGCGTGACCGCCTGGTCTTGTGGGCGTGGCCAAGGAGCGCGGGGGGGGCGTGGCTTCCCCGTGGCGCCCCGCCGCGCGCTGGCGCGGGCGCGGGAACGGGGCGGGCGCTGCGGTGCGGAGCGGAGCGGAGCGGGGCCGCCCCCCGCTGCCGCCGCCCGGCCGGGGAGAGGCGCTGCGCTCCGGCCCGGCGCCCAGCCGCGGCCCTTCCCCTCCGCGCCCCCTCGGCGGACGGCCCCGGGGCGGGGGCAGGCGGGCGGGCAGCCCCGCGGAGCATGCGGGAGCCGGCGGGGCGTCTGCGGCGGGCAGCGGGAGGAGGAGGAGGAGGAGGAGGAGGAGGTGAAGGGGGCTGAGGCGGCTCGGGGGAGCGATGCTGCTCGCTTCGGCCGTGGTGGTGTGGGAATGGCTCAACGAGCACGGGCGCTGGCGGCCCTACAGCCCGGCCGTCAGCCACCACATCGAGGCGGTGGCCCGTGCCGGGCCGCGGGCGGGAGGCAGCGTGGTGCTGGGCCAGGCCGACAGCCGCCTGGCGCCCTACATCATCGACCTGCAGTCCATGCACCAGTTCCGCCAGGACACCGGTGAGTGAGCCCGGGACGCAGCGGCCCCGCTCCTTGCACCCTGGAGCTCGGCACCGCTGGGCACTGCCAGCACCTGCCCGGTCCTCCCCGGGCTGCCACCACCTCGCTTCGCATTGCTCGGCACCGCCCGCTCCTCCCCGTGCACCGTGCGGTGTCACCGAGGCCCTCCCAGCCCTGCCCGCTCCCTCCCTGCTTTGTGCTCCACGCCTGCAGCCTCCCTGCATCGCGCTGCGCCGTGCTGCCCGCTCCCATCTGGTGCTGCCCGGTCCTGCCCGGGCCCTCCTGCACCGAGCTCCCTGCTGCTGTGCTGCCCTGCCCTGCCCCACTGATCTGGCATCGCCCTGCACGTCCCTGTCGCTGTTTTACACCGCGCTGTTTAGCATCAGCTTGCACCTGGCTCTGCTGCCAGGTCCTGCGCTCCCTGACCTGGAATTGCTTGGCGCTGTGCTGCCAGGCCCCGAGCTGTGCTGTGCCGTGCCGCCTTTCCGAGTCCCATATTGCTTTGTGCTGCCTTCTTCTGCGTTTCATCCCCTTGCCCACCCTGCTCTCGCCCTGCTGCCCTCCTGGGTGCTGCCCGATCGGGGGGGGGTTGCATTGCCGGGCCCCCTATTGCATCATGCTGAGCTCTGGGTTTGCATTGCACCACCCTGCCCTGCCTGACCTAGAATTGCACAGCTCCGCTTCGTGCTGCCCGGCCTGCCTGCTGGCCCTGCTGGCCTGGGGATGCCCGGGCTTGCCTGCTGCTGACCTGCCTTACGCCATCCCACCCGGTCTCTGTGCTCCCCCTGAGCCTGCTGCTGCATGGTGCTGGGGGGACAAATCCTGCCTTGGGGGTGGGGGCACGGGCAGGTGGGGTGATGCCCAGGTGAGGCAGAGGTGGGTTTGGGGGGGTTTATAGGGGGGGACACGAGCAGGTGTGGCTGTCCCCAGGGTGGGGAGCACAGACAGGTGGTGGGAAATAGCCAGGGGATGAGCGCAAGGTGCATGAAATTAAGGGCATGGGGTCTTGGGGGTGGCTGTCACAGGGGCTTGGGCCCCTTCCCTCCCCAGGCACCCCCATAATAATAGTAGGGAGGGGGCCTGGCAATGTCCCTTGTCCCTGGACAGCCTGCTCTGGGGGCTGGTGGGGACCGTGGTCGTGGGGACAAGGGGACAAGGGACCTCTGCTGCCCGGGGACAGCTTTCAGCGCCATCCGTCTGAGGGCTATTGTCGCCTGGGGGGAGGAGGCCTGAAAGGGGGATTGTTCTGCTTCCCTCCGGGTTGCCGGGAATGTTGGTATTTTGGGTCATTAAACAGCTCTGATTTGGGGGGGGTCGTGACCCTGGCAGGCCCTGAATAGCTATTGTCCCCTTTCTTCCCCCGCTGAATGGGAGGCTGGCGGCCCTGCGCTGGGCTGGGGCTGGGGGGGCCGTGGTTTTCCCACACCGTGGCCGGGGAGGGACCGCCAGATGCCGCATGCCATCGCTCGCCCCGGATTAGGATAAATCACCGCTCTGCTGTGCCGCCAGGCCCTGCTCCCCTCCGGCCCTCCTTTGTGCCACCGGGGCTGGCAGCTTTTCTCCCCCGGCTGCCCCTTGGCAGGATGGGGCAGGTGGCCCATTTTGCTTATTTTTAGCCTTTTTTTTTTTTTTTTTTTTTTCAGGGGACCTGGGCTTGCGTGGGGCTGGGTAGCGGGCATTTCCCGTGGAGGGCTGGGGTTAAAGGGACTGAAATTCCTGCGGGGTTTAGGGGGAAGAGCAGCGCAGGAATGCTCGCGGTTCACCCCTGGTGCCAGGGTGCCACGGGCTCACCGCCTCGTGGTGTAAAGCTGGAGACTTCCAGCTCGTGACTTCTGCTCCTTGAGCTCTCTCGTTCCTGTGGGGGCAAGCGATGGGATTTTGCAGAAGGGTGCGGTGCCTCCAGAGGCAGCGATGCTCATGAGCTCACCCGATTCATTAACCAAACAACCCTGGGCCAGGAGGCATGCTGAGGACAGGACACCAAGGCTGGGCATAGCCCCGTGCTGTGCTGCTGTGAAACGACCCAGATAGGAAGGGTTTTCCCTTGTAGGAACTCCCAATGTTGGCATCCTTGCTTTGAACGTACCCTAGCTGCCTTAGTGCAGTGGGTAGGTGCAAGCTGCCAAGTGCTTTGCTCTCCTGCCCCACTCATGCACTTGCTGGTGGAAGAGCAGGGGCCGAGGCACAGAGCCCTCCTCCAGCTCCTTTACTCAGCCTTGCAGGGATTTTCCTCGTGCTGCTGGCTGGGTTTTCACTGCAGGACGTTTCTGGGGCTGCCCTGAACCCCACTCCCCTGCTGGTGCACATCATTGCTCTGGGTGCTGGTGCCGTGCCGTGGGGCTCAGCACTGCCTCTTGGCCCAAAATCTCTAATTTCCCTTTCCTGGCCCACAGCTGAGAGGTAGACAAGGCCACGTCATGTCCCCCAGGAGCCTGGGGCATGCCTTGTGTCACCCAGCTCCTAAGGGAGGCTCCTGGACGAGGTTTTGCTGCTAAGCTTGTGGTTCTGTGTCCCATCGAGGCTGTGCCTGGGGAAACTGAGGCACGCCGCTGCCGTGGCAGGGCGGGGACAGCAGCCACGCCAGAAAGCCGTCCCGTCCCCACACGGAGCGGCACCAGCAGGGCAGGTTGGGGTGGTTTGGTGGTGCTCCCTGCCTGCGGGTCCGAGCCTGATAGCATCTGTGTCACCCCCCCTCCGGCAGGCACCATCCGCCCGGTGCGCCGCAGCTACTACGACCCGTCGTCGGCCCCGGGCAAGGGCGTCGTGTGGGAGTGGGAGAACGACAGCGGCTCCTGGACGCCCTACGACATGGACGTGGGCATCACCATCCAGCGCGCCTACGAGAAGCAGCACCCCTGGGTGGACCTGAGCACCATCGGCTTCTGCTACGTCATTGACTTCGCCACCATGGGCCAGATCAACCGGCAGACCCAGCGCAAGCGCCGTGTCCGCCGCCGCCTCGACATGGTCTACCCGCTGGTTTCGGGCACCCTGCCCAAATCACAAGTCGTGGCCGGCCAGCCCGGGGGCGGCCGCGGCCCCCCCGGCACCCACCTGCGCCTGCCCCCAGTGCCTCCTGGTCATGAGCGTCAAAGCTGCCGTGTCAGCGGGTGGCCTGGGGGCTGCCACCCTGCAGCCTCGCAAAGCCCCCCCCGCACCCCCCGCTGCCCCCAAAGCCCCCGCGCCAGCCCCGGGGGCCAAGGCAGCCGACGGTACGGCCGCGGCACGCGGCTCGCTGAAGGTGCTGGCCTCCCAGGGGGGCCGGCAGCA